GAGGAGGAGGAGGAGGAGGGAGGAGGAGGGGAGGAGGGAGGAGGAGGAGGAGGAGGGGGAGGAGGAGGAGGAGGAACATCTGGGACGAGGAGCGATGGCAAACCCGGGGCCCCTTTCCCTTAGCGCATCTTTTCTTCATGGCGACCCTCCTCCTCCTCCTTCGCCCTCCTTCCCCCTCCCTCCCTCCCTCCCTCGGCCCCGCTCCGAGGCGCCCCGCCCATCTCGGTGCTCAGGCGGTGAACCAGTCGCGGCGGCTCATCCAGGCCGAACTGCAAGTGGTGCAAGTGGCGCTGCAGGTGCAGGTCGCCCACGTGCTCGCCGGCCGGCCGATGAGCCCCGCCGCCGCCGCCGCCCTCCTCCTCCCCCTCCTCTCCCCAAGATTCCCTCCCCGTGCTCCCTCTCCTACCCCTCCTACGTGCCCCTCCCCCTCATCCCCCTCCCCACACTCGGCCCCCCCTCCTTCTCCTGCTGCTCCTCCTCATCTTCTTCTCCATCCCTCCTCCTCGATCTCCACTTCCTCCTCCTCCATCCCTTTCCTGATAAATGGCTACTCCGGGTCGCACCTCCAGACGTGTCCGTAGGCTGGCTCGAGCGTTTCGCTTGAGACCTCTTCGCCGTTTTTGACTCTGAAGCTTGAACTTTGCAACGGTTTGAAGGATGGAGGGCGAGCCATTTTCAACATTGAGCTTTCGCGTTAGCGTGGCGCACATTCTTCTTGAAAGTTTGCAGCAATCTCAAAATTGAGAATGACCCGTTTTCAAAATGGAGCTCTCGCCTTAGCGCCGCGCGCATTCGTCTTCAGAGTTCGCAGAAGTTCAAAGATGGAGGTCGGGTCCTTTTCAAGCAGTGGCTCTTGCCTTAGCGCTGCGCATATTCGTCTCAAAAGCTTCCAGCTGGTTCAAGGATAAGTGGGATTGAAGTCCCAACAATTGTGCTCTGGTGCGACATAGGATCGTCAGGACGCAACAATCACCTGGTTCCGCGGTGTCGTAATCCCAGGAATGGTGTTCTGGCGCGATTCAGGATTGTCAGGACGCAGCAGTCACGTTGACTCGTTGCGTCGAAGTCTCAGGCACTGTGTTTTGGCACGATCTAGCCTTCTCATCAAGTTTATGAAATTGATGGGTGCCCGAATCCTATCAAAAGTCTAATGTGCAACTGGTATAATATTGTATTTTCTTGTCCTGGCGAGGCATCTCCCATTTGTCAAGAGTCTGGGGAAGTGTAATCCTTCCTTTTATGAATTCTTCGGGCGGGTGTGCCACTTCCTGCGATGAACATAAACTCTTGTAGGGACTCATCAACAGGGAACTCGGAGGGAGGGTTTAATGCAGCATCGCTGAATCATCTTGGGTTTACACTGGTCCTCCTCCTCCTCCTTCCCCTCTCCCTGTCCCTCCCCCTCCTCCACCTTCCCCTCTTCTCCTCCTCCTCCTCCTCCTCCTCCTCCTCCTCCGCCGCCCCACTGCCACTGATCCTCCTCGCCCTCCCCCTCCCCCGCGCCCTCCGAACCCCTCGGCTTCGGTTGGGGAGGCGGGGGCTCCAGCTCCCCGACGGAGGCCGGACCCGTCGCCCCGGCGGTGGGCGCAGTACGTCCGGGGACGCCCTCGCCGTCGCTGCGGCAGTCTTCTCGGGCGCGGCGCTCGGCCGCGACCGCTGTGGCCGCTCGGCGGCTCCCCGACGGAGGCCGCGACCGACTGCCCCGGCGGTGGGCACGTCGTGGCCGTCGGCGCGGCCGTCCCCTCGGCCGCTGGCGTGCTGCGGCGCGGGCGGCCGCGAAGGCACCCGCCCGGGCGAGCCCTCGCCTGGTCTGCGCCCTCGTCGTCGTGCTCCTCCCCGGGGTGCCTCTTGGGTGGTGCAGCTTAGCCCCCAGGATCCAGCCGCGGCCCTGGCGAGAAGACAACCGTGGCCCCTCCTCATCCTCCTTCTCCTCTTCCTTCTCCTCCTCTCCTCATGTCACGCTACCGTGAAGTGTGCTGGGGCTTTCGTGAGTGGAATTGCGAAGCGGTTGGGAAGGAAAACCATCGGTTTTTCAACCTTTTCATCAAATGCTTCCAAGCAGGCCTCTCGCGCGCGCATGTCGATCGCTCGAACGCTCTTGAGCGCAACCCGTCGCAAAAACCGATTGAAAAAACGGAGCGAAGCACGTACGCCCGCGTCGTCGCGCGCGCCTGCGGAAATCCTTCAACAACCTTCGGTTTCTCAGGGATTTCACAATCGGCTGTCCTGAGAAACCGATGAACGCATGGTTTTGCACCATCAGCTATCACAACAAAGTGCGCTCGCTTTTGCAGAATCTTAAGGTAACCACATGTTTTCCAACATTTTCATGGCATTCGGCCAAACAAGCTTCTCGCGCCGCATGTCGAAATCATGGCGCGCGTGCTGGGGGGGGGGCGCGATCCGTGTCACACAAAAATAACGCCACTGTCGCGCGTCGGCCGCGCGCGTATGTCGAATTCCCCCCAAAACCTTCTTCACCGACGCGAGGACGCCGCATCGTCGCCGTCCATGGTCGTGCCGTCGTCGCTGTCATCATTGTCACCAACATCGCAACTATCATCATCATGTCTACCATTGTCGACTTTACGATGATACTGCGCCAGCCCAAGTCGCGGACTCGCACTGAAATGCCCGCTGGGATGTGCACGGGGGTCAGCGCCACCGCGGCCGCGTCGGTCGCGCCAAACTAGCTGGCCGCTGCGCGCGCGAGCATGCGCGGGCTAGCGCGGCCGCAGATATGCACCACCCAACACCAAGCACTCGTCGCAATCGCCGCCGCCTGGGTTTTTCAAGCCAAGTTGCGAGGGGGTGGGTGGGATGGTCGCGCGAGCAGTGGAGTTGACAACTCACTGCGGTCAAGAATTAATTGGCCCTCATCGTTTGCACCGCGTACGTCTGTTTCACCACACATACTCTCCTCTCAACAAATGTGATAGGATCTACCTCCCGGGCCCCCCTGTGCTTAACGATCCCCCTGTCCGTACTGCAATTTACATCTTATTCGGCCCCACCGTCCCTCCTAAACATGAGTGCGTATCATCCCAGGCAGGCCAGTGTCCCCCCCCTCGCCCTCTGCAAAACAAAAAGGACGCGATGCGCGCACTCTCGTTTATCAAAAGTCACCAGTTCTGTTTTCCAAACCCGAGCAACACATGGGACGAATTGCGCGCGCGCGTTGTCGCGCGCCGCGTTGTCGCGCGCGCCTGCGGAAATCATTTGAATCGTTAGGTTTCGCAGGGATTTCAAAATCGAGTGGCCCGCAAACATAAAAATGCATTGTTTGGCAGAAAGTATGTTCAACAAACGCCTGCGCGCGCGCTCTTGCGTATTGTTGCTGAAAGAAATCAATTGGCTTGTCGACGTGTCCATCGCGTGCCAACAGGCGTGCCTGTCGCGCGTGCATATCGCCATCGCTCGAACGCCATTGCGTGCGTGATATCGCAAGAATACCTCGCACAAAAATGGGGCGACATGCACGCGCGCGCGTCGTCGCGATCGCATGCGGAAGTATTTCAAAAACCTGGGGTTTCGCGTGGACTTCGAAATCTAGCGCACTGGAAACACATAAAAACACATGGCTTTGCAACCGTCAGTTTTCAAAACAGCCGGCGCTCGCGCTCCTGCATCGTCGAAAGAAGCAATTGGCTTCCCAACGTGTTCATTACATCATTTTCGGCCAAACGGGCCTCTCGCGACGCGTGTCGCCATCGTTCGAACGCCCTTGCGCGCGTGCTGGGGGGGGGATGGGGGAACGACGCGTGTCGAATGAAGCCATGTGGGCCACTGTCGCGTGTCGGCCGCGCGAGTGTCGAATTCCCCCCGCTGCCTTCATCGCCGTCGCGAAGACGCCGTCGTCGTCGTCGTCGTCGTCGGTGTGATCAGCATCGGCGCCGTCGCTGGCTGCGCCGTCGCCGTTGTCATCATCGTCGCCGGCGTCGCGACTGCCATCGTCGTGTCTACCGCTGTCGACTTCGCGATGATGCCGCACCCGCCCGAGTCGACTACTCGCGCTGAAATGCCCGCTGCGAAGTGCCTGGCGGTCAGCGCCGCTGCGGCCGCGTCGGTCGCGCCAAACGAGCTGGCCGCTGCGCGCGCGAGCATGCGCGGGCTAGCGCGACCGCAGAGATGCACCGGCCAGCGTCGAGCGCTCGTCGCAATCGCCGCCGCGCGCGCGTGCTCGTCGCGGAACAAGTTGCGGGTGAGTGGGATGGTCGCGCGAGCAGTGGAGTTGACAACTGCGAGTTCCACGAACGAAATCTCTTCTCTCAGAAATTATCAGGGCCCCCCCTGGGGTGAACGGTCCATCCTGAGTGTGAATTCGTGCCGCCCCAGCCAGGCTGGAACTCGCCCTTCCCCTCATCGACCGCAACAGATACTATGCGCGCGTACTCGTTTATCGAAAACCATCAGTTTCCAAAAACCCTTGCTTGCAACGTATGGGGCGAAGTGCACGCGCGCGCGTGTGGTCGCGCGCGCATGACGGAACCCCTTTCGAACCTTGCGTTTCGTACGGATTTCAAAATCAGATGGCGCGAAAACGTATGCACGCACATGGTCTCGCAATGTGCTTCAAGCAGCGCTCGCACTCTTGCGAATTCTTAGGACACCCATCGGTTTTCAATCTTCTCCTAACGTGCTACCAATGGGCCTCTCGCGCGCGCGTCGGAGTCGTTCGCGCGCCCTTGCGCGCGTGCTGTCGCGAGAATTCCTTGCCGAGAATTGGGCGAAGTGCGCGCGCGCGTCGTCGCGCGCGCGCTCCGAAATTTTCAAAAACTCTTGGCTTCGAAAGGATTCCAAAACCGAGTGCCCCGAACGCAAATAATATTCTTGGTTGTGTAGGATCAGTTCCCCTACCGAAAAAATGAGCTCGCGTTCTTACGAACCCAGGGAAAACATCGGTTTTTCATGTCCACGAAAAATTCAATCAAGCGGGCCTTTCGCGCCGCATGTCGACATCAATCGAACGCCCTTGCGCGCGTGCTGGGGGGGGGGGGGGGGGGGGGCGATCCGTGTCAAATGAAACCATGCGGGCCGCTCTCGCGCGACGGCCGCGCGCGCGTGCAACTCCTTCCGAAGCCCTTGTCGCCGACGCGAGGGTGCCGTCATCGTCGTCGGCGCGATCATCATCGGCGCCGTCGCTGGCCGTGCCGTCGCCGTTGCCATCGTCGCCGCCGGCGTCGCTACCATCGCCCTCGTGTCTACATTTGTCGACGTCGCGATGGTGCCGCCCCCGCCCAAGGCGCGGGCTCTCACTGAAGTGTTCGCTGGGAAGTGCCCGGGGGTCAGGGCCACCGCGGCCGCGTCGGCGGCG